CGAAAACAATCGAGGACGCCCGATTGATTTCGAGGACGCTCGATAGATTTCGAGGACGCCCGATAGATTTCGAGGACGCTCGAAAACGATCGAGGATGCTCGAAAATAATCGAGGACGCTCGAAAACGATCGAGGACGCTCGATAGATTTCGAGGACGCTCGATAGATTTCGAGGACGCCCGATAGATTTCGAGGACGCCCGATAGATTTCGAGGACGCTCGATAGATTTCGAGGACGCCCGATAGATTTCGAGGACGCTCGATAGATTTCGAGGACGCTCGATTGATTTCGAGGACGCTCGATAGATTTCGAGGACGCCCGATAGATTTCGAGGACGCTCGAAAACAATCGAGGACGCTCGAAAACGATCGAGGACTCTCGATAGATTTCGAGGACGCTCGATAGATTTCGAGGACGCCCGATAGATTTCGAGGACGCGGACGCTCGATAGATTTCGAGGACGCTCGATAGATTTCGAGGACGCCCGATAGATTTCGAGGACGCCCGATAGATTTCGAGGACGCTCGAAAACGATCGAGGACTCTCGATAGATTTCGAGGACGCTCGAAAACAATCGGGGACGCTCGAAAACGATCGAGGATGCTCGATAGATTTCGAGGACGCTCGACAGATTTCTAGTTTAAGAATTGAAGAATACCAATTGTTCACATACTGCAATTAATTTTTTTAATGGTCGAGACACGGAATCGAATAGCCAACCTCCGAGGTTGCGGGCAAGTACCATCCCACTGAGCCATTGAGCCATTGGGGTACTCCCTCAAGATGGGTAGTAAATTGGAAGTGCTTATCAGAGCCATTTGTGATTTTGATATTTCACTGATTGCCTGATTGGAGTGAACAAATATAGATCAATGATTTCTGTTTCTGTTAATATTTAAAATTAATATAATCAAATAATCATGTATGTATAAAGTACTTTAGGCTGTAGGTAAAGGTAAAAGCGAAAAAAAAAATCAAAGAAAAGATGTTTACTAGGTTTACTACTTGAAATTTGAAAGATTTTTTTTCCGAAGTCTCTATTGTGGAGGCCCCCTGCTTGTGGAGGCCCCGGGGCTTTCGCCCCGGTTGCCCCCCCCTAAATCCGGCCCTGGGAGTATGGAACAACCTATTGGGTTTTTCAATTAAGAAATTCTCAACAATACCTACAGCATAAATCTACAGTCTTCTGTCTGAAGTTGTCTATTGTATTGATGGGAATACGTATATTTTGAACAGGCAATAATTTGCTTTTAAGATTTAGGAACAAAAAGGAACAGTTTTAAGTTCACATATAAAAGTAGACATACCGGGTCTCGAGGTCCACATAATTGTCTGAATGCGCAGATACAGTTCTCCTCGGGATTAGCAGATTTGATTTCCAAGGCAACACACTTGCCTTCCGCCAGGTGAATGCTCATCGCCTGAAATTGGTTATTTAAGTATCTAAATATATTTTATATAAATGGGTCATTTTTGCTTTTATGTGAATAATGTTTTTTCACAAGTTTACACGTTAAGGACTAAAGCTCTGTGAAGATTACCCGCGACGTGTCATACGATTGATGAAGACCAACACCAATATGAGATGTAGTCACAACTTAAGTATATGAAAAAGCACACATAGGTAAGCACAAACCTCGTATTCAGGCAAAACTCCTTTATAAACTTCATAAAATTCTGCAGCATTAGATAGTGTAACAGAAAACATGGCCATGGCGGTGATATGGAACTTTCCAGAGGTCGTTATTTGTTCCAGGATAGCGCCGACGTTGCCTTCCAGTACGGCATGAGGTTTGATCACGCAACAAGTGCAGTTCTCGAATGTCGCTCTGTATGGGACGCGTGGCACGTGCCCCTTTTCATATCCAAAGAATAACTCCAACATCTAGTAAATAATGAACTCATTATTGAGTAAATTGTTAAAAATAGATACCTATCCAAGTTCAAAGAAGTTCTTCGGGTACAGCTTAGTTTATTGGGCATGACAAGATACAGGTAAACATTAGAATTTTGGACCAAATCGATTTTTTTTCTGTCTGCTTCAATATGTTTTAACTTTTAACCCATCGTGTGTCTAAACGTGTGTGTTTCATATCGGTGCATTTAAGCGGTTAAAGGCTACCTACGTCAGCAACGTCTTGTGTAGTGGTACAACCGTGGGCAATGTTTCGAAGCGTATTTTCTCCGTATAAGTGTCTTAGAGAACCAGGCTCAGCTTCAGCTGGGTTTGTCGCCCCCAAACAGCGCCGCCACTCCTGTATTGCGTTGCGTCCCACCAGCTCTAGTCCAATCACTTCGCCACTAGTTACGTAGTCAACTATAATTCTAAAATTTGTGTTATGAATTTATGATCGATATCACGGAATATGGAATGAAATTAAGAAAGCTTGCATATGTTGTAGTTTGGACGAAAGTAAGATATTTTCATACATAAGTACGTATATAATACGTCACACGTACCTACATCACGTATATAAAATGTCAGTAGCAGCGCGATAGTCGCCTCGTCTCGGGTCGCGGAATGCTGCTCATGAATATGAGCCTCTAGCATAGCATGAAACCAGTCGAAATTGGTCTAATTCTGACATACTGGGTCTGTTTACTTACGGGAGCATACTACTTCCAGAAATGTGGTTATAAAGTGCCAATGCGCCTTCTTTATTAATTTTTCCATTCTTCATGCGCACTATACGGAACCCATTTTTTGTTATAAATGTTATTATTTTTCCATGTAAATCTGGTGGTACTGGTTTTATAAGGGCGAAAGTACTGCAAATGAAAGTAGGTTCGTGAATAGACGTGGGTAGGTATAATTTAATTTGGGGAAGTTGGTTATTTCTTAAACAAGGTAGGTAACTCCGGTTACCGGGGATCCTGCTCGAAGGCCGGAGGAGTAGGAACAGAGTGGTTTTTAGTCAGTAAGAGTCTGACACTCCCTCTCGTCTCACCCGGGCGGGAGAAGTCATAGGATAATTTCCCCCTCAAAAAAGGTGGGTAAGTAGCTGTAGATTTAGTAGATTGAATGTAATAAGTTAACCAGTATGCGTTAGGAAGTTTATAAGCGTTTAATTTTTACTAACCTTTCGTATTTATAAAACAGTGTCTTCCGTGTAGCAGGTGCGCAATCTGTGATAAGGAGCAATTTCGAAAATATATTTATTATATTGCCAATTTCCAACATTTCCAATTTGAGTGTCGGCAGCTGTACTCGACTCACAAGATTTTTCCCTTTTTTCACGTCTATTACTTGACATGAATTATCGAAAGGAAAAAAATTTAAGACCAATTCTATTATTTTATCCGCCTCTTCATCATACATTTCACACAAAAAGGTATATTTGTCGAAATAGTCGTACACCTGCAATGGAACTTTTGAGCATTTGACTGCACGGTGAAACAAGTGACAGAATTGGACATCTAGTTACTGCACATTGTTACTTTGACTGCCTAGGCCTAGTTGACTGAGTGACCGTGAGCAACCAAGCAAGAGGACTCGGCCCGAGACGTCATGTTGATTCCCAGTTCAACTCGATTATTTGAAATGTATACAGTTAGAATTATTAAAAAAATGCAATGATTAATTTTATAATTAGTAACATTGTCTACTTCTTACAGTATGTTCCTTTTACCTACTACCCCTTTGGACTTGTTGTGTGCCACACTGTATATGCAGTGGACCTGACTATCCCTCAGGCGACGAAAAGGCAGGTTAAAGTGTAACAAGATGCCAAGATGTTATGTTGTGTACACAATAATGGGAATCGATCTCCAACATTGTTCCTGCAAACCCTCGAAGTAGATTTTTTTTTACTTACCATTGTTCACAATAAGTAATGAAAATTCAACAAATTAATAATTAATTAAATATACAAATTACAGCAATTACAAAACTAGTGTAGATCTATCATTAAAAACTAAATTTAATAAATATTAAACAAGTGTCGTTGCCTGACATCTAAAATATTGACAAAAACAATTATATTGTCATTTTTTAAAAAAAGTTAAAAAAAAGTAAAACCAGTTCGAGTAAAATGTTTTCATATTTATGAACAACATACGTTTTTATTACAGAACATTTTGATACCCATATAAGGTTAAGGATTGAATAGGATATTATTATTGAAATCTCAAGTTTGACAAAACCTTTTTCGCTTGTGTGTGAGACATTTATTAAGTATTTTATGTATTCATATATGTGTATATATATATATATATTTTAAGGGGGAAAATCATCGAATGACTGCTCCCACCTGGGTGAGGCGGAAGGGAGTGTCAGACTCTTAGGTACTGACTAAAAACCACCCCGTTCCTTCTCCTGCACGTCGAGCCGGAGGCCCGGTTACCCGTTAGGTTCTCCGCGACATGTATTAATATACATAGTAGGGCTACTATTGTTAAAGAGAATATTCATCAACAGCATATAAATGAAAATAAAGCCTGCTGAGCAAAGCCTCTTATCACACGGATAAGGTTTGAGCATTAATCACCACGCTTTCTCAATGCGGGTTGGTGATTTCAAACTTATAATTAGAAATGATAAGCCTAGGTATCCTCACGATGTTTCCTTCACCGTTTGTCAGTGGTGTCTGAATAATCTTGGAACGTATGTACATATAACTCTGAAAAGTCACATTGGTACTTGCCGTTGGTAGGTTTCGAAACCGCACCCTCATGAATGAGAAGTGGGCGTCTTAAACCTCCGGGCCACTACTTCTTCATATACAAGCACAAGTATAAGAAGATATTTTGTCTAAATGAATGAAAGATGAAATAAAATAAGTATCAGCACGAACGCGGTTTAAGTTAAAATAAAATAATTATGCTACAATGCGAACGCTACGATGTGGCTGTCGTTGTCACTAATGTCACTATCATTCTTGATTTTATTGACGTTAGACGTGTGTCAGACTGTCAGTTGTCAGTTACAATTGACACTTGCTTGATACAGCCACACGTGTTGTTGGTTTGTGAATTTGAGGGTTAGGTTTACTTCTACAAAATGGGTAAAATTAGGAAATCTAAACCTCCTAGAGCGAAAAGAAGTTTGGCGGCGGATAATAGTGATGAGGAAGAGCAACTGCCTGTTGACAACAAAGAAAATGCCATTCAAACTATACTAGATCAGTTACAGGTAAGTGGAGTTGAAGTTTATGTTGGTTCATCCTGCTTTATTTCAAATGTTTAACTACATTTATCATTATTTATGTATAGAGATGTAATATAAATGGAATTTGCTTGCATTATCTATTTGTATTCGATGTAATTTGTAATGTTTAAACGGTTTTTAGGGTGCTGATATTGAAGAAAAATACTGTGGTCTACAAACTTTTGCTATGCTAATAGAGAACCCAGAAAACATACCACAGATTATAAATCGAGGATTAGTTAAAGTCGCAGCTCCATTGTTGCTCGATCCAGCCAGTTCTGTGAGGAATGCAGCAGCTGGTGCATTACGAAATTTGTCTACAATTGCCATGGAAACCTGTGATGCTATGATGGAGCAAGACGTTATGACTCCAGTGACATGCTATTTCCATGAGGTTTGTTGTGTAATAATTGCATAACACTATGTAACTTAAGTGCTAGAAAAACAAAGGTGTACAGTGTAACCCAAAGAAAAAAGAATGCTTTAAAACATTAATGATAAAGTTTGTGGTTAGAAACAAAATATTAACAGCATTCATTTTCCATTTCTTCCAGCATGCTGAAAGTTGGGTGCCTGATCCAAATTCTAAAACAAAAGATGAAGATAGTGATACATTTATCCAGTGTGTCAATTTACTGTTGAATTTGTGCGAAAGTTCTGGTGAGGACAATGTTGCAAATAATCATGAAAATATCATAATGCATTATTTCCTGTGATACGCCTACTTACATCAATATTATTTCTTTTACAGATCTTGCAGTAAAATACCTGGGCCAGTCTAGAATATTAGACATCCTCCCTCGTTACTTAGACCTTGGCACCTTCTCCAGTGAAATAGTAACAGCAGTTTTACAATGTCTGTTTGTTGTTGTGGAAGACAATCCGGCTGCAATGAATAAAATAAAGTCGAATGCTGAAAAGCAACTGGAAACATTGTTGGGACTAGAGGGCACTGATCCTTCAGTACTACTAGTAAAAACGCTCGCAGCAGGAGTGATTATCAACACATGTGGTGGCAATATAACTACATTGCCAGTTGATGTAATTCGGAGAATAATGACTATTCTAGCTAATACTCTGTCTGTAGACCACAGGCTCATCTGTAGTCAGCTTTCTAGTAATGTGCCTTTGAGTGACGGTCCTGGGAAAGTTGAAGCACCAAAAGGAAAAGCAGCACAACAGTTAGATAGTCAGATACAATCTGTGACACAAATGTTAACAGCCCAACAAAGTTCCATAGAAATTATTGCCAATATTTGTTCATGTGAAGGTAAGGACATTCTAATTCTAATACTAATTTGTATTTCCTTACAATACAGGATATGGTGTAGGTTTAATGCATACAATTATTTATCCTACAGATGGTGATGATCAAGGCAATGATTCCTCTGAAAGCGATGAAGCTGATGAGGAACTTTGTGAGAATGGTGATGAAGGTGTTCTTGCAGAAGATAAACTACCACCTGAAATGATGGAAGCTTTTATTTCATTGGAAGTATTTGATAAAGTTTGGGCTAGAACACAATTGCCTGCACAGAATGTTATGTTAATATTGAAGGAGTATGATGGATCACAATTGATTTACAAGAGGTACTTATACATTTTTTAAATAGACTTCTTGTGTGGTATGTTTACTATTTTTATGATGTGTATGTAACATTTAACTGTTTCTTTAATTTCAGATTACTAAGCTTACAAACTCGAGCACTTCTGTGTATAAATAATCTGTTATCCACACTTCCTATTGAAAACCTTGGCGGTGTGAATGGTGTCTATAAAATTTGGGTGGATACAGGAAAATTAGCATTCAAGCAGGACCCGGAAAATGAAAATCTAGCAGAATCAGCTACAGCAGTCATGAGAGCAGCTTTAGATAAGATCAAGTTTAGAGATAGTGGGAACAGTAATGACTGTAACTTGTTCAGTGATCTGGCTTTATCAGATATTGAGGTAAATTCATCCTGACTGAAGTATGAAAGAAATATTTTTAATGTTTGAAATTGTTTATAATGAATTATACTGGTTTAACGATGGGATTCCCAAGGGCGTATCTTGGGTCCATCTCAATTTAAGTTCAAAATTTAAAATAATCTTTTTATTAAGTTTTCTATGTATAAACACCATGTAATCTGTTATCCGAAATAAATATGTCGTCATTTTGTTTCAGCTTATGCTTACAGGTATTAAGGAATGTCAAGTGCCAGAGATAAGGTCGAACCTAATCCGCATGGTTGGGATCCTGGCTTTACTGTTAGTCAATAACCTGAATGACGTCACTAGCAACGTTATATGCACCATAACAGAGTTTATATTAGAACAAGCACATAAGGAGAATGAAGTCTGGGTTCTGGCTGAAGCAATAGACACTCTTGTTGATGTGTACTCTGAAGATGAAACTGATGTTTTAGCAGCTAAAGTTAAATTGACTGATAAATTGGCCATTCTAGCACCAATACTCAAAAATAAGGTAAGTTTGAAATAGTTTGTAAATATTAGGTGAAAATTTACTTTGCCTTGATCTTTTAGTGAGTCAAGTTACAATTAATTAAAATGATTGTGGTAATTCCAGGCAAGGCAACAGAAAAGGCTTCCAAAAGAATACAAGGTCCTCGTCAGCACTGCAACATCAAACTTACCCAGATTCATCAAGTATAAGAAAGATAGAATAAGTAGATTATAAGCATTCGTCATAATAGTAAGTATCAATATGTTGATATATTTCAAATATTCTATGTTGTATCCACTGATATGCATATTATTATATTTTTACAAGACATATTAAGTAATTTGTTTTATTTAAACACACCCTATTAACACAATAAAACACCATGGTATCAATAGAATAATAATTTATTAAACAACAATGTCTGAACTAACAAATAACTAATCCCATTGTGAACATTTGTATAAATAATTAGGAGTTTTGCACACAAAATTATAGTGTACTATGTCACCATTCACTAATTTTTTTGAAGGTACACATTCGTTTTAACAACAGCATATTTTCTCACGTGACGGTGACTATTACGTACTACCAAAGCAACATTCAATATAATAAAATATTTATCACAAATAAATTATACTACGCCGCTAAATATTCATAATATTTTATGGCAAAACAATTTATTTTGTCATTTACGTACTTGTATTGAAGGCACTAGAATTTTAGTTAAGCATTTATTATGAAACTGCATCGTTACAGTACCTATTGCAATCCCCTTTGCGAATGTTTGAGATCCGATTATGTCTAAACCGATCGTTATTACCTAAAAATCACATATTACAACACATCGTACTTATCTACTAAATACTAGTAAAACTCATTGACTTTCTCTAGATAACAAATTATGTTAATTTGTATTATGTTCATTGTATGTAATATATTAAGGCCATTTTCCTACAAATACTAATAGCTAATACGTTGTTCGTTTATTGATATGATAAGTATAATATAAATATGATCTACTTTTTAATAGCAAACCGCTCACAACATACAAGATGTACTAAATGAAATTGTTTTTATTGTAGGGTCCACAGTAAAACAGCCATATTTAAGTTACATTTGGTTAACAATAATGGACTCATGGAGTACTTGAGCCGCCTCCGTAGTGACTCCTTCTAGGCTTTGGTATTGGATTTGGTGACGATGCATCCTTTTTATCGAACCTTCTTTTGATTTCCGACACCGACAGTCTTGTTTCTACGCTTGGAATATCATCCTCGTTTAAAGCGGAGTTCAGTTTGTTTATCTCTCTCTCAAGTTCTCTAGTAGCTCTGTCTATTTCCAAAAACTCTTTCTCTGTACTTGATATTGTTTCAATACTCTTTTTAGTTTGTGGATCTTCATAAAGTTTGCATACAACTTTCTGCGGCGCGTCGTTTCCATTAGTGTGCACGATGTTCTCATTTAAGTTAATATCGTATGTTGTGTACGTCGTGTCTAAGGTATTAGTGAGGCTCTTACTTCTTTTATTATTAAGTGTCTGGAAGTCCTCTAAATTACCTCGTCGTAATCGTATGTCATCTTCATTAACGCTAGAGTTACGTCTGTATGTTACGATGTCTATTTTAGGGAATGCAGCTGAGCTTAGGATGTCCTCTTCCGATGAACTTCTAAGTGTTACTTCGCTTTCTTTGGATTCAGTAGGTTTTGTTTCTTCGTTGTCTACTTTTTCCGTCGTAGTTACCGAGACTTCAGTATTATTGTTAACGGCGTCAGGACTCTTTGGCTTATCGTCTACAGATTCTGTTTTGTCTTTCACATCTTCATCTTCCACTATTTTGAGTTCAATATTCAAGTTCATGTCTTCTATTTCTAAATCGCCATCAGTGTTATTCAATTTCTTGTCCTCGGTTTTACTTATTTCTAGTTCTGAAGTCACACTGGTCACCTGTAAAATGTAAAGTTATCGTTAAGAAAGCACGTCTTTGTGATTAGTTTTAGTTGAAACTTTGAGTTATGTTTAAGGCCATTTTGGGCCCTGTCCTGTAGTATGTTAGAATCGTGAATAATACGGACAAGTAGCGGTGGTCAATAAATAGTATTACACAAAGCGTTAAGTACCCTTTAACCTTTAAATAAGTATGTTAAGATACCTAAATAGCCTACGAAACAGTTGCCGTTCCATATCGACCCCTACCTATATGAAATGCAACAGTTTTATAAACCATTAAATTCTTTTGTTATGCGAGTGCATCAATGCTATAATTTAGCAGTGCTGTGTAATTTTTCTGCGATTAGACAACAATATCACCGTATTTTGTAACACCTTTTGTAAATTCCAATATTCTGAATACCAATGTTCTGAAGCTATGTAGTTTATTGCTCTTGTGGTGACTCACTGGACGTCTCCTAGTTTTGACAAAATTAAATAACTGACTTAGCATTTGTACCAATTTGCACGATACATAATATAATTTCACTTCACTTTCAACAGGCTTTTGGGCCCTCGTTGAGCCTTGTAAGTGATCGGAACCCTGTGATTCCATGAATGGTTTACTTAAATTAATTCTACAATCAAAATCAAACCCATTCATTATTGATCGTTTTACGACTAAATAAAGGACCGTACCGTTGTATCAGCTGACTCAGGAGTCGTGTAGACGGGCCCAGGTGGTAGAGGAGCGCGCTTTTTCTTACGTCTTGAAGCGCGGACAGGAGGTACAGGTCCATCTTCGTCGAACGGGTTTGTACTCTCGACGCTCAGTCGAGACCCTGACACTTCGCTTCGGGCCAACCGCGGGGTTGTACTGGAAATTAAAAAATGGATATTAATTTTTTAGACAACATTTATCCACACACGTTTTCTTTTAAAAAACGTTTTTGTTAAATGTTCGAAGGTCGTGTCGTCGGATATACCTTAAAAAGTAGGGTTAGGGCAAACTAATGTACATATACCCAAACAGTATAATAAGTAGGTATTGGGAAATTATACCTTATACTACCTACCTTATAGCCCACAGGTCATAAAACAAATCATAAGGAAAATAAGATTTTCCTTATCGACTTCAAAGGTTATGGTTTTATGCACATAAGCTTGTATCTAGGTATATTCTTCTTAAGCAATAAGTTAAAGTCACATAAGTCATGGTCACCTTGTATTTATATCTCGGCAATGATTATTCTAAAGCATAATAATGATTGTGACAGGTAAGATATGTCACGTTTGTATGTAACTAATTATGCAGCCCTTTTCTGTTAGTGAGCACCACAAAGTCCGCTCTGATTATTATGGGCTCTTGGTATGCCTTGAAATTAGTCGAGTAACGCCGTCAAATAGCTACTTAAGTACAACAAATGGAAGGCTAGTTGAAATATTTTGCTGTCTCCAAAAGATAATCTTACCTCAATGATTGAACTTCATGATGGCTGGTACTCCTAAGTCGCTCTTGAAACCGGGAGCGAGGCAGGGGAGTGATGGAGCCACCGTACACATAGCGATCAGGAGACCCTACTGTACTCCGAGCACCTGTCGTCGACGCTGTTGAATCTGTAACCCATTAATGTTCTAATTATTTATCGGCAAAAGTTTTAAAGCTGTAAGCGTCTTTCCAGTATATCTATCGAATCGGTCGGTTCAGTACAGATAATGGTACAGCAATCGCATTATGTCCACCTGCAACCTCAGAGGCATTGCAAGTGTGTTGGTGACGACGTCATAAAAAAACGTAATTTTAGGAAAGCCATTCTTCTCCGAAAATACAGAAAACATTTTCGTATTACCCTAGACATCGATGGCCCAGTAGTATCTTTGTAAGTATAATATAGCAGCAGGGTTGTCTTAGACTACGCTGGGGCCCTCAATTGGGTACACAATGTTCGTCGGATCAGTCAGCCTGTTAATTGCGCTGATTGTAAACTGACACATGCGTACTGCCTTCAGAACGGGTTCGCACAAACTGTGGTTCTTTCCTCAAAAGGCCATTACAGGAAGAACTTGCACACATAATCTTTTATACATATTTGTCTGGACTTTAAAAGAGACGGACCTCTGAGTTTGTGGGAAATGTTGACCTCATCGACGCTGTCTCATCGTTTGCTTGATAAAATTGACGTGTAAAAGTGCTGCCCTGTAGCCTATTAGCAGAAATAAATTCACTTGTTTTACTTGTTTCAATTGTTTCAATAGTTTCACAATAATTGAGGGCCCTTTTGGAGTGTTCCTTTTTGTAACGTTGCTCCATACCAGGATTTTCTCTTATGTTGTGAGGGATTTACTAACATACAAGTTCACATACCCAGACCCGAAACAATTGCAAATTTCCATTCCATCTGTGGATGGAATGGAAATTTGCTTCGTGCGGTAATTGAAATTGAACGTGTGGCGGGTTCGTCGTAAAAATTGTAGGTCCTCCGGGGCCCCCTGAGAATTGGGCCCCTGGGCACGGGCCCCGGGTGCCCCTCATGGTAAAGAAGGTACTGTATAGCAGTAGTCAATTGTATTACTTCAATATACTCGTTCTCAATTAGATACAATGGGCCTATGACATAACCTAGGTCACGTAAGTAAGTGTCCTATGTCTATATTGTAGTGTAGGCTGTAGGTATTGAATAAACTATTCTTACATTGCAGCGCTCTTCTGTAGACAATAGGCGAAGTTTCCCCATTTAATTGATTATTGCTCGCTGATTTTTCTGAGGAAGTGTGTTGCTGCCCCTTCTTTCCTTTCTTCATAAAAGACCGAAAGGCCCTGGAAATAGAGAATTGATAGCGTAAGTAAATGATGTATGAATAGAAGTTTAATGCTCAACAAATATTAAATTCCTGTATTGATCATGATCACAATATGTGTGATTCGGAGATTCTCAAGAGAGTCTTAAAGACTGCGGGAACGGTATGTAACGAAAAGATTGGAGAGTTGCCTTACATTATAAATATGACTTAAGTATATAATTTGAATGTCCGCAGTCGGCTGGTCTTTGTACCTAACAGAATATGTTCCCGTTATTACCGTGAGATGTCGTGGGAACCCGCATCCAGTAGATTAGTGCTCAAAGAGATGTATACAGCACTAGTTAATAGTTATTATGGCAGGAGTTCTCACAATGCTGTTAACGGATGTCTGTAGGCGCAACTCTGACAAAAGTAATGGAAGTTTAGTGCACTTGATTCCACTTGAACGGTCACAATTGTGCCGTGACGGCCGAATGAGCGGCTAACACTCGCCCACCGACTTGAGCCATTGTGCTTTATTCGCCTGACAAAATACCTACGTTGCATATCTGATATTTGCATATAAGTACTATCAAATACGAAGATGTAAATTTTCGATGGTTTTCCGTGAATTAGTAGTAGAATGTACGATTCCTTCTAAATTCATTTTAATTTCAAATTAATACGGCATATATTTATTCCGACGCTATAATGAGACAATACGAATCTGCACTGCAGCTTTTCCTTTCAATAATAAAAATATAATTGGACTTAATGAGCTTAAGAATTTTAGTGCCTACTTAAGTAAAACCTTTTATATGTAAAGGCTGATTTTATTGACTTTATTTCTTCGATAAAACCACATTTATATCTCTAACCGTTCATTTCGATAAATGAGTATCTTATATAGGGAATCAATAAATATTTTTATGAATCAGTTTTATGGACGATTCCGACAAACAACCTCGACCTAGTCAGAGACTGTTAGTGTTTAACTCTGTAAACAGTCGGTCGTTTGCTATCAGTTACGACTTGTAAACAGACAGACTGAGACTGCGTCTGTATGACATTAAATCTCCTAGGTCACTCAGATAAATTGAGATTTGCATGACCTGCACTTGAACTGTGTAACAGTGAATCTCCCTATATGCAATTTCTTAGTTCATGTTTGATTCATACTGGAGTTTGTTTAGTTTTAATTTGTACTTTATTCGTAGTTAAAAGATAGACGTACTATCGTTGGTGTTGATGAAGAATAGGAAACGGATTTGCTATGCCTGTTTTGTCTGTAGAGGAATAATTAACAATGCTCTTATTCGATCAGGGTACTTAGGTACTTACCTACATATCTAGGTACCCACATACATTATTATATGATATCATATTAGTATAACTTGTTCATATACGTACATATGTATCATACTATTTGCATACTGAGGTGACCTGCTTTCGTCATTTTTGATATTGTAATATCCTTGCTTTCATTATCAAAGTTAGGTACACCCACGGCACACCTGATTGCAATATTAGGTGCTTTTACAATTGCATTTTGTTAAGCAAATGTAAGTGCTTTAAATAGAATACCTTTCATATTTATTTCAATCGAGTACATATTTGTCAGAGACCAGACAACGTTGCTCTCTGATAAACTTGAACCTCTCAAATAATTCTCCTAAGTAGAGGAGGTGTATAATTGTATATGTACAGTCTAGCAGGGTATTGCTACAAGCTATTGATACTGTTGTCGATTTATGACGTCTAGAATAAAGAAGATGTGAATAGGAATTGAGTACTTACTTATAAGGACTTAAAATTGCTTACTTGAAAGTTTGATATTACCACTTGGTTAAACACTAAACAAGAAAGATATAAATAACAAAACTTAATATCTTGTCCATCTCTTTGACTATAACTATACTTATATACCTCCTATGTATTATGTGAGAGATGAATGGACCGACATGGAGGTCAATGACCCGGTTTACCGCATTAACAGGTGAGATTGTACATAGACAATGAGACTCGCCTTATTAGGCAGAATGGCAGGGCCTTATTACGCAATATCCTTATTGTTGGTCTTTGTTATCATTCTTGTGACCATCCTACTTATGACTTCTATCTTACCTACTGACTTACGCCCGAATACTGAAAGGTTACTTTTAATTTTAAGTTTTGCTTAAATACCATGCCATCTCTGTCATTTTACAAAGAATTTGTAGCGACAGAATGAGTTTGAGTATTTTGACATTCGTTTTTTACTTTTAATTGGTACTTGGAACAGTGGACGATCTGTCTCAATAAGCTGTCAAACTTAGGTGAGCTTCACACAGTTAAAATCTATTTGAAACCTTTTTTTAAGGGGGGAAAATCATTCAATGGCTTCTCCCGCCTTGGGTTGGCGAGAGGGAGTGTCAGACTCGTACTGACTAAAAACCACCCCGTTCCTGCTCCTGCTCTTCGAGCCGGAGCCCCGGCAACCCGTTAGGTCTTCCGCGGACCGTATTGGGCATCTGCCCTAATCTATTTGCAACCTGCACTAACATATAAGTACTCATCATAAATACTTATAATACATTTTTTTAAATATCTCTGTGGTATACATTCACAAATTCGAGAATTCCATTTGCTAATTTTCTGCATCAATCATAATTATCTAACGGGTTACCACAAAAACGAGACATCTTGATTTGTCCCGTTTTTTACACACCAAATGGTTTTTTAAATGCAATCTAACATACACAGTACTTAAGTAAATACATGCCTGAGGTTAAATCAAGGTGAATGTTGAAGATTGGACCTATTGTATAGGTACTTACATATAAATACACGTGTGTTTAGAAACTAAACTTTAGATGATTGGCAACAGATTGGGAGTCGAACCAATAACATTGGCATAGCAATATAAACAAAAACTCGTAAAGTGCACTTTACCTTGTGTAGCACTTGCAATATTGTATTTGTTTTCGTGTAGTTTCGAATATATTGCGGTACATTTAATTCTAATTGGTTGCCACATAGTAAGCTAAGTATTCAAATATTGCATTTTACTTTCAAAATGCGCAATGTGTTTAAACATGTAGACAAGTGTTGTTAGGACACATTCATGAGGAATTTTTTAATTTTTTTATTTAATACTACAATCTGTCGCCTTCTTTGGGACATTCGGCAGTATGTTGGATGCTACTTTAGTTAGCGTTTTCGGTATGTGACCTGTGTCACATCCTCTTCATAAATAGTTTGACTTACGAGGAATGACTCTTTGATTTGTATACAACAATTTGGTATTTTATTGATTTTACCTAAAAAATACCACCGGAGCTGCGGAAGTCTTAGTGAGTTGCCGGAGCTCCAGTTCCGAGCAGGAGTAGGAATGGGGTGGTTTCAGTAAGAGTCTGACACTTCCTCTCGCTTCACCCATGGCAGGAGAAGTCATTAGATTAGATGATTTTTCCCGCACAAAAACCAAAAATAAATATAAAAAAAGAAAGAGGCTATTGCATATTTATTTGCTCAAAGAGTCAAAATTAAGGCTGACCCGGCCTCTAGCATCTACCTAATACACCGAGGCAAATTAAGGATTTTTAGCAAACTACAAACTAAAATAAAACGTTTTATTCGATAACGATTCCATTTAACCATGGTTTACATTTAATAAGAACACAAATAACGAGTGGAAATATCCAGTGTTATATTGAATTGCATTAAACGTGATTTAAGTTAACCAAGAACGCAGGGGTCAAAACCACAATTAATTTATGAGCAGATTAGATTGTGTCGTGTGTCGCATATAGTCGTATCAACAGTTTAAATCGTGGCAATGCAACATCACGCTCACATAGAAAAACTAGCAACGTCCATTTTGTTGCTGTAATAAAGACAATGGATTCTCTACGGTTCAATGGAGTTCTTTTATGTCAATAATATTATAAACTACTTATAAGCTTTTTCAATATAAAAGATAGGTGTCTGTTAATCTCTTATTTAAACAATCTTGGAGCACCTCGTGATCATCATCATCATCATCAACAGCCTAGAGATATAAATGCCCACTGCTGAGCAAAGCCTCTTTTCACACGGAGAAGGTTTGAGCATTAACTCGTCGAGTACCGGTTTTATAGACACAATTAAAGAACAATAGGTCGCGGTCACCGGTGACCGCTTGGTGTTTGACAGTTTAATCACCACCACTCAATGCGGGTGAGCGATTTCAAACTTATAATCAGAAATTATAAGTCCAGGTTTCCTCACGACATTTTCCTTCACCGTTCGTCAGTGGTGTCTAAATAACCTTAGGAAGTACTTACATATAACTCGGAAAAAGTCACATTGGTACTTTTTCCGAGTTATAAACCGTTGGTAGGTTTCGAAACCGCACCCTCATGCATGAGAAGCGGGCGTCCTAAATCTCCGAGCCACCACGACTGACTTCGTGATACAGAATCAAATTCTTGGTGGATCTTTTTACAATCTTCAATAGATTTTTTTAACTCTTTTGAATAGAGTCAAATAATTTATTTTCATTCAAATGTTAATGGTCTGGTCGCGCTAGGCCTCCTAATATGTTACAATGGTCGGTCGCAAGGAAATCTCCTAATCAACACGCGTGGGCCACTGACCACACGTGTCTGACCTTCTATGGGTAGGTCTAGTTACTAGTTGGATTTAACTTGTTCCTAGGTGGATCACACGCCTACAACAGCTGTATTTTGAATTGTAAAAATAAAGAATGTAGCAGACACATTGTGCACTTCCCTAACTTAAATTTTCATGGAGTTTCTTGCTCGTTCTTCTCCATTCGAATCTACATTTTGGAATGAGCACCTAGCTTCACCTAACTTCACTGACTGACAGAATATTATTTATTTTGTTGACGTTTTAAAAGTACCAAATTATGGTTTAATTGAATCAAATGCTTTGACTTTGACATCTGTGGACTGACTTGCTTTGCAGAGATAAAATTTTCGTTCTTACTAACATTTATGTTATGGTAATACATACGAGTATGTATGTGCTATTGGTACTTCTTCCTTTATTATA